CAAGGACAAGCATTTTGCTGGAGGGGAACAACACGCCCATCTCCAAACCCTCAACAATCCTTGACTCACACGAGGGTTTAGGGTAAAAGGGGACCAAGAAGTTCGGATTTTTTTTATTTATTTTATCTAATTTGATTGCGTAGGAGGAGCTGGAAATGAAGACTGTGCAGGAGGGGATTCCCAGCTCAGGGGTGGGCACCCTCCGGCTGCTTCTTTGGTCCCAAACCAAGAAGAAGAGGTGATGTGGACATCTAAGCCTCCTAAGAAGCGCTTATAGGGGATTAAAGAGTCCAGACAGGCTATAACTCCCTTGACCTCAGTGAAATGTCACTGAAATAGGGGACATGGGATGTCACAGCCACCAAAAAGCTTCCACAGCCACCAACAAACCTCCAGACAAGCCTGGAAGCTTTGCCTGGAGGTGGGAGAGGGGGAGAACCTCAGCTCGGCGTGCACCCCCAGCAGGAGGAGGGCAGGAAGCAGGGCTGCTCGCTAGCGTTTTGGTCTTTCTTTTCTGTTTTTCTTCTCACCCTGGTGAAAGCCAGGGCTTTGCAGCTATTGTAGCTGTTGTATGGGCCTCTCAGGAGCCCAGACCCACAATGAAAAGGAAAAAAAAAAAAAAAAAAACAAACCTAAACCACAGGAAGGAAAAGAATTAGCAGGGAAAGGAAAAAGCAGCAGCAGGAAGAAGCATTTACGCCCGAAATAAATTCACCGGCTGCCGCCGGGGGTGCAGGTAAAAGGCTGCACCACCTTCTCCTGCAGGGAAGTGGAGAATTTGGTGTGAAATCCTGCTTTTTTTTTGGGCTTTACTTCTACAGGGGAGCACCTGCAGCGCGGTCCTGCGCCAGCGGAAGAGGAGGGCAGAAAGGCAACCATGAAACGGGCCCTGGAGGGGCTGAGAGAACAGGAACCAGCCCCACACACAGGGATAGGGGAAGGAGTTTCTTTGAAATCTGAGGTTTCTTTGAAATCTGAAGTTTCTTTGAAATCTAAGCTTTGGGGGGGGGGACGGGGGGGAGAAGCAGGGGGCAGAGCTTCCTACAGACCCTTGGGAAGAGCGGGTCATCAAGTGGGCACACTGGTGGCCTCACCTGAGATTAACACTTATGGTTTGGAGGTTTGGAGGAAGATGAGCCTTGAGATGGAGGGTCTGGCATCCCAGGTTTGTCTCTCCCCCCTCTCTCAGCTGCTCCCAAAGTCCCCCCCGGGCTCTGCCAAGGCAAACCTCCAAAGCATCAAGGCCTCACCTGAGATTAACACTTTTGGAGGTTTGGAGGAAGATGAGCCTCGAGATGGAGGGTCTGGCATCCCGGGTTTGTCTTTCCCCCCTCTCTCAGCTCTTCCCAAAGTCCCCCCTGGGCTCTGCCAAGGCAAACCTCCAAAGCATCCAACAGGAAACCTTCCCGGCGCTGCTGCTTCCGCTGCGTCAGCTCCCGCTGGAGCTCAAGGCTTTGGGTGGGACATTGCTGGACCAAGGGCAGCAGGACACACACTCTCCACCTCTCCCAGCTCAGCTCCGAGCTGCTTCCAACAAAAAAAAAATCCACAATGAGGAAAACCAACAAAAAAAAACCCAACCCCCAAAAATCTACCCTCGAGTCTCCTGCAGCAAATATTTCCACGTAGAAACGCCACATTCCCCACCAGGGAAGGAGGTTAAAAAGCAGGAGCTGTAAAAATCCCACTTTATATCCTTCAAGAGCCCAGAGGGAAGGAGCAGAACACCGTCCTACACTAACAACCACCTCATTTCTCCTGCTGCCTACATCCCTGTCACGGAGAAGCACGAGCCTGACACAGGCTCCTCTGAGACACTGTTCTGAAGAACACGTGGAGATGAGGATGCTTAAAGCAGAGGGGGAGGTCTCCAAGAGAGAGCACAGCGCACGAGAAACCAGGGTTTACCAGGCCCTCGCTGCAAATACAGCAGCTCCAGAGCTTGTGCTGGTGTTTTCAGCCCTGGTGTCACCCTTCACAGCAGCTCCAGGGACCACTCCATCATCACGAGGACTCGCAGCTGAGCCAGGGTGAGGGCTGCTGAAAGACATCACCAGGTAGTTTTTGCTGTTCCAACTCAAACACCTTTATTTCTGTGCTGTTCAGGGTCACCCGTCCTCACAGAGGACAGAGGGCAGGAGGTAAGTGAACTTTTCCAGACAAGCTGTTGGTTACATTCGGGGGGGCAACCAGGAAGAACCAAGGCCACGAGGAGCCATTCCTATTTATTTTCCAAAAATCCTCACCGTGGAAGTCTGAGGAGTCTTTGCTAAGCGGTTGTGACTTCAAATTGAAAACCAAACTTTCATTTTTTTGGGACGTGAGGACTACTTGGTAGTTAAAAGAGTCCACAGGAGCCTTAAGAGACTCCTTTTCTCCTGCTTTTCCAACTGTGTGTGGGGCCTAACGTAGCCCTTAGAGGCTCTCCTGCCACTCCACTCCCAACAGCACCCAAACTCCTGCCCCAGAAACACAGACTCTGAACTAACACCACACTCTGGACTCGGAGGGAAAGGGCAGGAAGGACTGGGATTTAAAAAAATACAACAAAGGAACAAACAACCCCAAACCAACAGAAACTTGGAAGAGACTGACACAAAGGACATTAAAAAAAAGCAGGAGAAGCTATGAAAATATGTTGAGATGGTCGAGAAAAGTCACATCAAAATATATTTAAAAACCAGAAATTCCAATCTGGGTGGAATTTAAAACTCCTTTCCCCAACTTTTTTTTTTTCTTTTCTTCCTTTTTCCTGCTCAAGGAGTCTCTTCGTTGTTCCCGGACGTGGAACGTGATAGGCAGCACCAGGTATGTCCTGAAAAGGGTAGTATTTTCCCCCCCAACTCATCTGAGCACTTCCACAATTTTACAAAGGAAAAAAAAAATAATTATATATACCTCAACAATTGCCCCACCCTCCCTCTTTTCCATTCTCCAGCGGGCAGGAGAAAAAAACCGCAAACAAATCTGACTTTGCCTTTTCGGTTAAGTCCCAGCTTTTTTGTTTTTTTTTTCCTCCAGACATCAATATCCCTGCAATCCATTGTACACCTTCTGCACTGATCCTTGTTTCAACAGCTGTTTGAGACCTGGAAGAGAAAGGAGAGAGCTTTAGGGCATGAAGGGGAGGAGGGCTCTGCTTTTGGATGTTCCTGCTGCACTCACACATCTGGCTCGGGGGTCCCGTGGCACCAGCCTTTCCAGGCTGAGCCCAGGGATCTAAATAATGCAAATATTAAGAGCATCGTTAAGAAAAGAAAAAGAAGGAAACATCCCTCCCAAACCCAGTGGGGCAACAGACAATAGCTCCTGCTATTTTTACTATTTCAAGGTGCTTTCGTGCACTCTCAGGACCACGCGAGGCCGGTGGATCCAGGGAGGAAAAAAAAAATAACAGCCTAGAGCACCACCTTGAGATCCCCACAGGGAGAAATCTGGCTCCCAGAGCAGCTTTGCTGTTGAAATTGAGGATAATTTTATCATCTTAAGTAAAACTGCCACAACAAACAGCTTTCTGAGTTATTTCCAGAGTCTAATTCATCCAGCTCATCTCCCCAGGCTCCCTCTACAGCCCAAGAGGAATCGTAGAAGATGGGGAAGGCTGCGTTTGAGTCCTTCTGGACTAATGAGTAATTAGAAAGCAGAGGTTTTCATGCTGGTATGTGGTGCCTGGAGACACTACTGTCCACTAGAAGTAGCCCCTGAAGGCAAGTAAAAGCAGCAATCTTGTCTGTGGGCTTAAATATCCTACGGAAGGTTGAAAAGCTGGAGTTTTTTTGAAACCCACTGTTTCACAGAGGAATCCAGATGGCTACAAATACCATCCTCCCCACCCCTGAAAGCCCATTCATCAAATATTTCAAAGACCTGACTGCTCTGGGGTCCTGTCAGTACCAAATTCTTAGCAGAGCAGAGTAAGAGAAGAGTGAGTCAGCTCTTAAAACCATAATAGCTCATCTAACTGGGGTCAGCACGTTCAGGAAAAGGCTGGCAGGTCTTCCCTGCTACTTAAAGGGCAAATCCACACACAGCAGAGGAAGCAGAGTGGCAAGAATGGATGTGTCACGCTGTTTTTCCAGAGATAAGCAGAGGGGACTCCCTCTTTAGAGTCAGCCTGGTGACACACTGCCCTCAGGGCACGGCAGCATCTCTGCTCTGACCAGCACCAGAAGCCCCTGAGCCTGAGCAGGAGCTGTTGGGACCCAAAAATAGAGACCTAAGCCCTAGATAACTTTCAAATAATAATTAAAAAATAAATAAAATCAAGCTAAACTGTCACAATATTGCTGTTGGAAGGGGGGGCTGGATGCTTTACATGTTTGTACAACAGGGCAGATTAGGCTGCCTAGAAAACTCTGTAGGAGATGGTGGCTTTAAGTGAGAGAGAGAGAGGATCAGTAATTAAATCGGCCAAATTTACCTCTACAGGAGAAGAGCCCCATCACCCAAGCTTTCAGGGATGCAACCCTTCCTCAGGACTAATCCAGCTAAAAGAGAGTATGTCTCCCTGCAAACCTTCTCCTGTTTGCCTGCCCTTCAGTCACCCTGGCTACAAATACTCCTGTCCTTTCAGAACTGGTGATTTGATGTGTGAGGGTCACGGTAGCTCTTCTTAAAATACTGGAAAACTATCACAGAATCACAGAATCTTCTAGGTTGGAAGGGACCTTAAAGATCATCTTGTCCAACCGTCAACCTGACTGACAAAAATAGACACCCACACAACAACAATCCTGGAAGTGACAACTGGAACCAAGACAGTGCCCTGCCAAGCAATTCATGCCTCTTCCCAGAGAACTCCCAACTTTTTCTACATTCAGAAACACCCCCAAGAGCAGGGCAAAGCGAGTCCCTCCACAGGAGCTGCTCATCATCAAGGATGGGTCATTCTCCAGGGCAGTGTGAGGCAAGTTCACTTCCCTTCCAGAGCCAGAGGAGGCTCAGAGGTGCTTCCTGGCTGATGGGCAAGAGGATGTGCCTCCTGGATGTGCAGTTCTTCGAAAGGAAGGACATGGCTGGAGAAAGGTGTGCTCCCGTAACCCTGACAAAAGCAGGATCAACACCATTCCCATCCCTCATTTCCTGCTGGCGAGCTCTAGGCAGCTGCCTGCTGGCCTAAAGGACACCCTCATCAGTGCACAGGATATTTCAGCACATATCTCATGTTCAATCAGGAATTCCAGCCAGGAATCCTGACGTTGGGTGCTGCTGCACCTCAGGTATTTTATTTTTATATTTTTTTTTTAAATAGAGCCAACTTTGAGATTTTTCTGACACCCCCAGTAGGTGAGAGGCTACAAGACAACACTTTGCTGCCAGCCACCGCTCTCTGAGCACTCCAGAGTTAAAGCATGGGATCCAAAGCTCCCCCAAACCACAACAAACAGGCGTCAGTAGAGATGAATGAGAGATTATGTCAAAGAGAAAGTCATCTCTTATCAACAAGCAATAAATTCCCTGATGTCACACTGGCAGGAAAAGCAAGCATATTATTTCTCTGACTCTAAAGCTTACGCTGACCAGCGGTGCTCTTGGAGTCACAGATATCTTCTGACTGCCCCAGGAGCTGGACATATGGTTAGGAGATAAGGAATTAGGACCACTGCCAACAATAAGACAAAAAAAAAGGGATGTTTTGAGTTCTGAAGCCTACAGTCTTCCTTTGAATGTGTACACTGAACTGCTGCCACACAACGCGAAGAGACCTATTCCCTCAAAAAAACTCCCCAAATCACTGGGTGTTTGGAGATATCGTAGCACACAGAAAGGCATCTGACTGCCTACCCAGTCACCTTCCCCTGGGAAGGGTGGAATTGCTTTAGGAGGGAGTGAAACACCCAAAGGCCCCTGCCTGAACACACTCATGCCAGTCCCATCACCTCCCTGTTCCTGGGATATCCGTAAAGGTGCGCAAGCAATTCTGATAAACACACAGGTTTCTGTCGCTGCTCTTTGCCCAGTCTCTTCACAAACTGCCAAGAGCAACAGCTGGAAAAACCTCACGTCTGTTCATAGAATCATAGAATTGCCCAGTCTGGAAGGGACCTCCAAAGGTCATCTAGTCCCACCCCCCCGCAGTCAGCAGGGACACCCCCAACCAGACCAGGTTGCCCAGGGCCTCATCGAGCCTCTCCTTGAATATCTCCAGGGAAGGGGCCTCAACCACCTCCCTGGGCAACCTGTTCCAGTGCTCCACCACCCTCACAGTGAAGAACCCTCTCCTCATCTCCAGTCTAAATCTGTTCCCCTCCAGCTTGAAGCCATTGCCCCTCGTCCTGTCACTGCAGGCCTTTCTAAACAGGCTCTCCCCAGCCTTCCTGTAGGCTCCCTTCAGGTACTGGAAGGCTGCTATTAGGTCTCCCCGGAGCCTCCTCTTCTCCAGGCTGAACAACCCCAGCTCCCTCAGCCTGTCCTCGGAGCAGAGGTGCTCCATCCCCCTGATCATCCTTGTGGCCCTCCTCTGGACCCTCTCCATCAGGTCCATGTCCTTCTTATATTGAGGGCTCCAGACCTGCACACAGTACTCCAGGTGAGGTCTCACCAGAGCAGAGTAAAGTGAAGAATCCCCTCTCTGGACCTGCTGGCAACGCTTCTTTTGATGCAGCCCAGGATGGGATTGGCCTTCTGGGCTGCAGCTGCCCACTGCCTGCTCATGTCCAGCTTCTCATCCACCAGCACCCCCAAGTCCCTTTCCTCAGGGCTGCTTTCTAATCCCTCACCCCCTAGTTTGTATTGGTGGCGAGGATCGTTCCGGCCCAGGTGCAGAACCTTGCATTTGTTCTTGTTGAACCTCATGAGGTTCACCTGGGCCCACCTCTCCAGCCTGTCCAGGTCCTTTTGGATGACATCCCATCCCTCTGGTGTATCAACAACACCACACAGCTTGGTACCGTCTGCAAACTTGCTGATAGTGCCTTTAATCTCCCTGTCTATATCATTGATAAAAATGTTAAACAGTATTGGCCCCAGCACGGACCCTTGAGGGACACCACTTGTGACTGGTTTCCATCTGGACTTTGAGCCATTGAGTACCACCCTCTGGATGCGACCATCCAGCCAGTTCCTTATCCACTGAACAGTCCACCATGTTCGAGAGGTGGTGTCACCTTATGAAGCTTCGAGAAGGCCAGCAGAGCCTGGAATGAGGCTTCACTGCTCCACCACAACAAACAGGAAAGCAAAGGGGTCAAAACACAGCCCTCACAGCCCCAACAGCTGCAGGAAGAGCCACAGAACATCAGTCAGGAGCTGGAGCTACCAGCTGGGCTCCAAGTGGTAGCCAGCACAGTGTCACCAATGCAGCACTAAGTCCTGCAGAGCTGAGAGGAGCCCACCCAGGGCTTGGCTTCCCTCTACAAACCTCAGGAGTCCAGGAAAGCTGTGCATTTTCCCCATTCTACCAGGACAGCTGCCAGATTCCACTAAAAGGCCACCTCCAGAAGAAGAAAGTATGATACCCTGAGCAGCAGGAAGAAGTTCTGGGGAGGGGAATTTTCTGAAGGGCAGCACTGGTAGGTGTCAAGAACTTTTTTGCCCTGTGGCAGAGGACGTGGCCCTTGATGCCTACTCTGATGCCTTGCACAGAGTGGCAGAACCCACTGCAGAGGCTGCTGAAGCAAAGAGGGGTTTCCAGCTTGGAGTGCAGCAGAGTCCAGAGAAGGGTGACAAAGATGGTGAGGGGTCTGGAGAATAAGTCTTATGAGAAGAGGCTGAGGGAGCTGGGGGTGTTCAGCCTGGAGAAGAGGAGGCTGAGGGGAGACCTTATTGCTCTCTCCAACTCCCTGAAAGGAGGGTGTAGAGAGGTGGGGGTCGGTCTCTTTTCTCAAGTCACAGGCGACAGGACGAGAGGAAATGGCCTCAAGTTGCCCCAGGGGAGGTTCAGGCTGGATATTAGGAACAATTTTTTCCCTGAAAGGGTTCTCAGCCATTGGAATGGGCTGCCCAGGGAGGTGGTTGAGGCCCCATCCCTGGAGGTGTTCAAAAGACGGGTTGATGTAGTGCTGGGAGGTCTGGTTTAGTGATGATGCTCCTTGTTTGTTGTGTGGGTGTCTATTTTTGTCAGTTGGGTTGACGGTTGGACAAGATGATCTTTAAGGTCCCTTCCAACCTAGAAGATTCTGTGATTCTGTGATTTGCCCTCCCAGGGTTTCTACATGGTTCATCAAGTTTCCATTTGAATACTGACACTGAAAAGCAGGTCTCTCCCACCAGACATCTCCATTGCACCCTTCCTCCCTATAAAAACAAAGCACTTGGGGTAGGAGGAGATGCAGAGAGGAACAATCCTTCTCCTGATGCTGCCTGACACTCTTTACCCTTGACAGCAGAGGGATTTTCACCACTCTTGCCTCCAAGAAAAGTGGAAACAAGGGTTGGAAAACCGCTTTGTGATCCCATTCCAGCCAAGGCAAAGCAGACAGAGGCTAAGCCCAGGGAGTCTCTCAGCTCAGACAGATGGCCAGCTACCAAACAAAGCACTCCATCCCAGTGGTGGCACATCCCAGCCCCTGATCTGGCTCCCTACCACTGCAGCAGCCACTTCAAAGGGAAAAGGCAGTTAATCACAGGGCATCAGCCAACCTGTGAGGTTGTACAAGGGGCAGAGGGAGAGGAGAGCCCCTCCTGACCACCACAGGCCACTGCTGTGGTTGTGCCAAGCTCTTATCAGCGCCGGGGAGAGGTCTGTGCAGGCCCTGCTGTGACAAGAGCTTGATAAAACACGCACCTTCCCGCTGCTCGTTTGTCAGTTGCTCTTTGGGGAACTCCACATCGAATGTTATTATTAGTGAGCCTTTGATATTATTGTTATCAAAATTTGGAAGACCTTCTCCTTTCTTCCAGAGTTTGGCCCCGGGTTTTGTGATTTTATCCCGAGCAACGTGAACCTAGAGAAAAGAGAAATTTCAGAAGGTTGTTAGCGTGCTGTGTGCGTACCCCAATACCCTTTCCAACCCAAAGAATCATAGAATAGAATCATAGAATCATTGAGGTTGGAAGAGACCCTTGGGATCATCGAGTCCAACCATCTCCCCTACTCTACAAAGTCCTCCCCTACACCATGTCCCTCAGTACCCCATCTAAACGGCCCTTAAACACATCCAGGGATGGTGACTCCACCCCCTCCCTGGGCAGCCTGTTCCAATGCCCGACCACTCTTTCAGTGAAAAATTCCTTCCTCATGTTCAATCTAAACCTCCCCTGTTGGAGCTTGAAGCCGTTCCCTCTCGTTCTGTCACTAATTACCTGTGAGAAGAGACCAGCACCAACCTCTCTACAGTGTCCTTTCAAGTAGTTGTAGAGAGTGATGAGGTCTCCCCTCAGCCTCCTCTTCCTCATACTAAACAGCCCCAGAGCTTCAACTGATATTGATTCCTTGCCAAAAATCAGTGATATTCAGGGGGTCCAAGCAGCATCACTGCCAGGACACCTACCAGAACTACCACCACTCAAAGACAGCACACGCAGTGACTGCTGTGCCAGCCTGGAACCCAGCCCCACACTGTGCACCCCTTGCACAGAGTCTGTTTTGGCCACAGGAATTGGTCTGGAAGTCTCCAGCAGAGGGGACACCGTACACAACCAGCAGCTGCAGGGACCTCGAGCGAGGTAATCCTCAGCACAGGAGACCTACAGTGAAATTCTGTTTCCACACACCAAGAAAGCAAACCCTTGCCTCACCTTGTGCCCATCCAAGTGGGCGATATCCATTTCAAAGCCTGTAAGTGCCTCGACCAGCGAGATTGTCACATTTGTATACAAGTCATCTCCCCTTCTCTCAAAAACTGGGTGCCTGCAGAAATAAGAGACATGCAACTTTTCTCCTTCCCCATAGAAGGGTCCTTTACCTCCCCCCCTCCCAACCTCTCTGTGCGAGTTTGGTGCATTAACAAATCCAAGCGGAAGGGAAGAATGAATGAAATTGAGCTTTGTTTTCCTGTGTGAGATATGTGCTACTAATAACCTTTCTATTTCTAGGGCAATGAGTGGCGAGGCGTGGCAAGAAGCTGTGACTCATGCCAACGATTTTCTTAGCAGTGCATTTCCTTACAATAGGGAGATACCATGTTTATGGAAAAGCGGAGATATTTCAAGTGATTCACACAGAAGCAACTAATGCATGCCAGAATTCAAGCCAAACAAAATAAAAATAAAAAATTCTGTGATTCTATGATGTGATGCCATCCTCCACAGCCAGATCCTTGGCTTCACCATCTGGGCTGAAGGGTAAGCTAAATGCTAGCCAAAGCTGGCAATGCTGAGCCAGGAAGTTGTGTGCAAGCTTTCTCCAGATGAACCAGAAAGAGCGGTCTAACTGGGGCCAGCTACTTACTTCAGAACTTTTATTCGGAAGCGCAAATCACCTGGCTCCCCATCAACATGGGGTTCACCTAGGGAAAAGAAAGAAAAGCTGTGTTTAAAGGAGCTAGTTAAGAACAACTGAAGAAACAAGCAGAGTATTAAACAATAGAGATTTGCAGCTCACACATTAAAGGAAAAAAAACCAACCAAACCAACTAGTTGATCTTTACATGGCCAAAACCCCTGCTTAGACACAGCTGGAGAAGGACTCTTTGCCAGGAGGTGTAATGATAGGACAAAGGGAAACGGTTTTAAATTGGAAGCAGAAAGATTCAGATTAGATCTCAGGAAGAAATTTTTTACTATGAGGGGGGTGAGACACTGGAACAGGTTGCCCAGAGAAGCTGTGGATGCCCCCTCCCTGGAAGTGTTCAAGGCCAGGCTGGATGGGACCTTGAGCAACCTGGTCTGGTGGGAGGTGTCCCTGCCCATGGCAGGGGGTTGGAACTAGATGATCTTTGAGGTCCCTTCCAACCCAAACCATTCTGTGATTCTATAATCTGTTATTGAAGAGCCTAGGACTTTCTGATTGTTGCCTCAATGAGCTCCTCCCTCTCTGCTTTCTGAAAGACTTGCCTGCATGCTAATGATGGCCTTTGCTTGCTGAAGGACTTCTCTCCTTGGGCAGAGGGGATTCCCTCACATACTCAAGCCTGAAACTGATGCTCCTACTCAAAAGTTATCCGAAACATCAGATTTGGAGGGTTTTTTTGTGTATGTGTGTGCCCATGCCCTCAGTAGCAGCAAAGGGAGCAGGAACTCAGACTGTTATCCAGACTTAGAGAGCGTGCTCCTAGATTTCAGCAGCCTGCAGAGGATGCAGCACACAAACCACACACATGCTGATCAGTCACCAAAGCAGGGCGTGGACACTTTCACTGCCAGGAAGATCAGTCTTGCATCACCAAAAAGGAGCAAGTCAAAGCAGAGCAGCTGGGCACATACATACCTTCACCAATGAAGGGATACTCCATACCATCCCTCACGCCTGGCTCGATCTCCACCTCCAGCGTCCGCTCCTCGTTCACAAGCCTGCAAAGGGGAAGAGCAAACACTAAGTTTTCAACACCTACTTATGTTACTGGGGTAATGAGAAGACCCCCCCACAAGTTACCACTCTCTCCTTGCTCACATCTAAAACTGGAGGGCGAGTGCTGCCTTTTCTTGAGTGCTGATACTCATCCAGCAGAGAAGGCAAAGTTAAGCTCCTAAACACACAACGAGTGTCTGGATGTGTGACTACCCCACAGTATTCCACATGCAACTCTTCCCAGCTGGAAACCATGGGCTACCCTGGCTTTGTTTATTCAGATTTAGTTGTGGGATTTTAACTCTGAACGACTCTGACCGATTATTCAAGGAATAAGAGGCTGAAAGAGCAAACTGGGGAGCTCTACATCTAATAGAGCTGATCACCTCTACTGCAAGAATAAAGGGTGGCTCCTCGAAATGAGAAACCTGTGCTAAGTTTCTCCAAATCCCCCAGGTCTTGCTGGTAGTACAGACACTTTCCTCCATCTAGTGGCAGGTTTTGAATAAACATCCATAGAGCAGCTAAGAGCTGAGAACTCACTTGACGTTGGGACATTCATCACAAACCACCTCTTGAGTCATCTGGAAACGGCCAGGACCCAACTGGGTGGTCCTCATCTCCTGCCGGCAATTGCATTTCCGTTTGCCAGGTGCCTGTCTCGCCACTGGCTTGTTCCTGACAACCTGCACGAGAGAGGAAGAAGTTGACACCAGCACTGGTGGCACCCCTGGGTCTTCACAAGGGTCTGGATCTCTCCAACAGCCTGAACATAGCTTGGGTTTTTTCTTTTTAATGCCCTCTCTGCTGCCTCCACAGTAGCTCTACGTGGTCATGGCAAAAGATGCCCGATAAGTTTTCACCTTCCACTTCTTGCTGACCAAACATTAAATACCCAAATATCAGGGAAAAAAAAAAATCCTGATACCACTATTACCATTTTCCTTCTTTTCCTGGCACATCTTTCTAAACAGGGAAGGTAACACTAGGATGAAACATCTGACACCACTGGTTACAATAGCCTCCTCGTTCCACACAACAGACAAAATTATTTGGAGCTCCCCATTTACCCAGACACAACATAAACTCAATCAATGCAAATTCTAACATGCAGAATAGCAGGGATTGTCAGCTCCAGTAGCATAGCTTGCTTAAAAATGAAACAGATATAAAAATTAAAAGGCCACCACACATTTCCATGTAATGAAAAATTTGCAATGACACGTTTGGCCACATAAGGAGTCTGAAAATCCTCAAGAAGGTTCTGCAAGAATCACAAAATTCATTGGAGGCTTATGAATGGGACCTCAAATATCACTAAATTCTAGAGAGACCACTTACACCTTTTCCAACTGGGCTACTGCAATAAAAAAAAAAAGCTACAACTAGTCACCAACAGCCAATAAATAAGCTATTATCACAAGAAGCATCCCTTTATTCATCGTTGCCATGGGGCAATTTCTCTATAAATGTATCGTTTCTTCAGTTAACTGCTAGCAAATAGCATCACAACATCCTCCACTGGCAGATACTGAGCATCTGTTTCAGTTCTGTTCTTCAGGAGCAGATATTACTCTGAGCAGTCACCAGGCCAGGCCTCTCAAACCTGACAAGACCTGGGAAAGACCAACAGTCAAATGGTCAAACTTACTTCTACGAAGTTTCCTGAATACACCTCCTCCAGTGTAACCTCCAGGTCCACGATGATGTCGCTTCCTCGGGGAATGTTCCTGTCTTGTTGGCGAGGGTTACCTCCAAACATGAATCCAAAGTCCCCAAAGAAGCTGGAGTAAAGCACATCAATTAGTCAGGAAGGGATTCTGATCAAACGAGGCTTTGATGAAGAGAGTTGCCCAAGGCAGCACCAACTCGGTTTGCTGAGCACATCTGAGGGTAACAGTTTTAAACTGAAAGAGGGGAGATTTAGATTAGATACCAGAAAGAACTTCTTTGCTGTGAGGGTGGTGAGAGCCTGGCCCAGGTTGCCCAGAGAAGCTGTGGCTGCCCCATCCCTGGAGGGGTCCAAGGCCAGGTTGGAGGGGGCTTGGAGCAACCTCCTGGTCTGGTGGGAGGTGTCCCTGCCCAGGGCAGGAGGTTGGGACTGGATGGTCTTTGAGGTCCCTTCCAACTCTGATCATTCTATGATTCTATGCTTCATGATTCCTAGAGAACAGCCTCCTCACAGTGAAAAAGCACCATAATAAACCCAGATACCTCTTTTTGCTCCTCCAGGACCCAAGCTAACGCCCTCAAACAAAGTGGCCACTTTGGAAGAGTTTTCTTTACTAAAGAAAACAAATTTTGGAGCAGGAGTTGAATGCCAGCAGCTCAAAATCTGACCACTGCCTAAGGGAAGAGCCTCTCTGTACTGCACTGGTGCTCAGCTACCATCACCATGAGGTGCAACCTCTGAGCACTGCTGCACCTCTGGCACTGCAAGTCAGTGCTAGCAGGTTTTCAGCAGTTTGAGGAGAAGAGGCATGAGGAAAAAAACCCACCTTCCTAGCAAGTCTGCTTATTCTTCCTCAAAACAGACCAGCAGAAAGCATGAGGATGACAAGAGATGAGCACCTTAAGGAATTTTTAGTCAATTTGTGCCAAGCAGAACCAAAGAGGGCTTAAACAAAGAGAAAATCAGGTTCTGCCCGAGCAACATGCAAGTGCCTTCAGGTTTGGATGATCCAAATTCTAGAGCTGCTCTGAAGTGGAGCTTAAGTCACTACAGCATTATTGTGCTAAAGTGACCCCCAAAGTGCACGCAGGATCCGTGCCAAGGGGTTAAACACCAATCACACACCAGATAAACGTGTAAGAACTTTGAGTTAAGGCAGCTGCAGCACCTGACAAGGCACCCACGCCAGCGCCGCAGCTTGCCAAGTGAGCAAGAGCTGTCCAGGTGAGAAGACACCACTGGGCCCCACTCACTGCTCTTGAAGGAAGGACTGATGCAAGACAACTGGAAGCTGCAGGTGGGATATCCACTCTAAACTTAATTTCTGCAAATTCTTAATTGTCACTTCAGATCAGTGCCTCCTGGCTGGGTAAAAGACCTTAACAGAGGATTTACCCAGGTCAAACATGCGTGTGTCACAAAATTAGAGCCCCAACTATAGTGGTGGGGCATTGGAACAGGCTGCCCAGGGAGGGGGTTGAGTCACCATCCCTGGATGTGTTTAAGGGACATTTAGATGGGGTACTGAGGGATATCATAGAATCATAGAATTGTCTAGGTTGGAAGACACCCTTGGGATCATCGAGTCCAACCATCTCCCCTACTCTACAAAGTCCTCCCCTACACCATGTCCCTCAGTACCCCATCTAAACGGCCCTTAAACACAGCCAGGGATGGGGACTCCACCCCCTCCCTGGGCAGCCTGTTCCAATGCCCGACCACTCTTTCGGTGAAAAATTCCTTCCTAATGTTCAATCTAAACCTCCCCTGTTGGAGCTTGAAGCCATTCCCTCTTGTTCTGTCACTAATTACCTGTGAGAAGAGACCAGCACCAACCTCTCTACAGTGTCCTTTCAAGTAGTTGTAGAGAGTGATGAGGTCTCCCCTCAGCCTCCTCTTCCTCACACTAAACAGCCCCAACTCCCTCAGCCGCTCCTCAGACGATTTGTTTTCCAGCCCCCTCACCAGCTCCGTTGCCCTCCTCTGCACTCGCTCCAGCACCTCCAGATCTCTCTTGTATCGAGGTGCCCAAAACTAGGGTAGATGGTTGGACTCGATCCCAAGGGTCTCTTCCAACCTGAATAATTCCATAGAATAGCCTGAACTGGCAAAATCTCCTTACTGTGAGAAGATGTCTCCATGGGAGCTCTGGTGCCCATCCTTCAGTCCCTCCTCACCGTACGCATCGTACTGCTTCCTCTTCTCCTCATCCGACAGCACCTGGCAAAGGGAGGGGAGACAAGACATTCACCCCCAGCTCAACTGGGAGCACAGCTCCGAGAGGAAGCTCCCCAGTTCTCCTCACTGGGGGACAAGTGGCACTGATTTACACTACAGAAGCACTGGCTAGGACTTGCTGGCTGCACTGGACTTAAAAAAGATAAACATTTATCAGTTAACCCCATAAAAAGTAGGGTTAGTTTGTTAAAACAGCAGAAGCAACATGGAAAATATTAACAATACTGAGTTTATCTTAAGAATTAAAAAAAGAATCAGAAGGAATAATTGAAATCAGTTCCTACAAAGCAGGACACGGGAAAAAAAAAAACAACCACAGTTTGGTCTTCAAGCACACAGAATGTGTATTTCTCTAACTGCTATTTTGTAATAATTAGCAACGATGGCAAATTTGCCTGACAAGTTGAAACCTGCCTAACACAGCCACTCTGCACCACTCTGAATGCTGGCCCTCATTCCTAAAGGCAGGAAAAGTTAGAAGTAACTTTGGTACTGAGGCAGAATAACACATCCCAACACACATGACTTTCAAGTCTGAATAGTTTCAGTTTTAATTCCCAAGTATTGATCTCTGCTCTTTCATCCCCCAGAGATGCAGAAGTTTCCAGTCACACTTAGCCTTCCGTCCCCTGTTGATCCTAAATGCCCAGGTCAGCTTTCAGAAGGCTAGAGTGGGGTGAAAGCAGGTGGAGATGGAACTAAAAAGGTGGAGAAGCTGGCTAAACCGTGAAAACCAGTCTGAAATTGTAACCAATGACAAATGCTAGCAATGGGTGGGGGGAGGAACCCCAAACAGCAGTAACTTTACTAACTTCATCTGCAGGTAAGAGTTCAATTCTCCCTTTGCCACTTCAGATTTTGCATTAAAACACACATTTCCTAAAACTGGGATAAAGCTTTCCCTTTTGTGACTCGTTGGAGTCAGAGCCAAGCTCCTCTGGTAGAGCACCACACAGTACTGAGGATATCACCAGCAATAAGAAAGGAATTAAGAACATAAAATATTAGCCTTTCCATTTTTCCACAGGCTGTTGGAGAACACAACTCCCAGAACACAATTTCGAGCACAAGGAAGAGAGTTCTTGTTTGTTAAGTTGCCTTGAAAGCAAAGCAACTACTTTGGGTAAACTGAGGGGAAAAAAAAAAACCAAAACACAACCCTGGAAACTCCACCCTCAAACCATCCTGAGACTAATGACTACGGTTCCCTCAGGTGGGATCACTCTCCTGTCTAATTGAAACAGCTGTGTTCAGACCACACAGCTGCAGGGTGGAAATCACTTAGGCTGCTAAAATGAAGGAGACCATTAGTTTAATTAACCTACTTTCCCCACAATTTATTATTTTTTTTTTTTGGAAGACTTTGCTGCGGATCATCAGCTGGCCAATCCGTGAGCAGTGGTACTACCCACAGAGGCTGTCGCTTTGGGGCAAAAAGCATCTTGGTTTAGGTTATAAGGGAAACATAACTCTAGCTCCCTTTTGCCCTAATCAAATCCACACGCTGCACCTTGTAGCTCGTTTAGTGGGAGGATTTGTAAGCTCTACTGGCTAAACAGAGACAAAACCAGACTTTGCAGGACATCAAAACGTTACTTCTTCCAAACCTGTTTCAAAAACCATGTCCATCAATCCTGGATTTTAATGTTCTGACACATCTTTCTTCAACAAGCAGCACTCAAAGACTCTGAAAGGAGGTTTCCAAGTTTAATCCTCACCAGCACCCAGCAAGAGCTCGTTGCATTCCTACTGTGCTAGCACTAGAGCTTCACACCATGTTAAACAACTCAGCTGGTGTTGTGCTTCAATAACACCCTGGTTAGAAAGAGGGACACCCAGTCTCTGCTCACAACAGCTAATATTCAGGTACTCCTGCCACCACGTCCCCTGATGATTTGATTTTTACAACCACTTTTAACAGAAAAGTACTCTCAACTGTTACGATACTAAAGAATTAAATACCCTGGGACTTGGGGAAGAAATAGAGAAACACTTCCCATTCGTAAAGTACAGTCAAATATGACAAGATCCCAACTCACTGAAATTACAAACTCACTGAAATTACAAGCTCTCAGAATAAACTGCCTGCATCAATCTGCAGATGCTGCAAATGATGGGTAACAAATACTTTTTTCCATAAAAAAACCCCAACTTCTTTACAGTCACTGCTTTCCCTGTGATGGTTCAGCCAGTTTATTTAAGAGTAGATAAGTCTCAACTAAAAAGAGGTCCCACCTCTGATACAAAAATAAAGTCAATGTGTTTTCTTTTTGACCAAAGAGGAATGCATTCAAGCTTCTTCTCTCACTTCCTCATTCATTTGATATTTGCATATCTAAAGAGCAGAGGAGCATCAGGGATGGAAGCAGGAGCCACAGCTGCAGGCTGAGCAGCAGCAGCACCACCCTGCAGCAGGAACTCACAACTTTTTCCTTCTGAAGCTCAGTTCCTCAGAGGCAACAACTCTCCCACCCAAACAACCCACTGGTGCAAGCAAGACCCTGGTGGACCTGCCTCTAGAAATTCTGGCTGGTCAACACCATCTTCCCCAGGGGCCAGCAGGAGCAGATGGAAACCAACTGTGGCAGAAGGGAGATAAATAGGACAGAGAACATGGAAGAAACAGATCCTATCACCCTGCTTAAATTGCATTAACATGTACGTACGTAGCAGAGAAAGCAGGCTTTGACTTAAAACGTTTGGCTAAGAGAATAATCTATATGGGATTTATATAATGCACTGTGCTATTAGTGCCAGGTGTCATTTGTATGCTACTTTATTATCATGGAAACAACAGGGATCCTCATGCCTGTGTGACCCATCATTATTTTTCCCCACCACAATATCTTCTAAAAGACAGGCCAACCACCTTTTGGCTCCTGCCACCTCAGACTTACTGGCAGCCAGGCCCCATACAGACACACACTTGCTCCTGTGCCAGTGCTTACAACTGATGCAACTCTATTTCTTCCTCAGAGAACTACCAATAAATACCAAATAACTTTAACTTGCTGCCTTCACTTTCTCCTGGCTAAGCGAGCCAAGATCTTTTATTGCCCTCCAACAGAAGGAGCTCTCTAATCAACCTGGCAGCCTCTCTACCTTTGGTTTTTTATTTAGTAGAATATCTGAAATTTAATCTAGTAATAGGGGGAGGATGGATTGCACTGTGTCCTATAAAAGGAAGGGCCTTTATATTTCCTAGAAGCCTTCCTTTCTCATTCTCCTGAGTGTTATAGGATGAAGCCTATAGACCTGGAGAAGAGAAGGCTTTGAGGAGACTCCACAGGCCCTTCCAGTCCCTTAAGGGGTTCCCGGAGAAATGGGGAGGGACTCTGGATCAGGGAGGGGGAGTTATGGGAGGAGGGGGAAGGGTTTGACACTGAAAGAGGGGAGATGGAGCTGAGATGTGGGGAAGAACTTGTTTGGTGGGAGGGTGGTGAGAGCCTGGCCCAGGTTGCCCAGAGAAGCTGTGGCTGCCCCATCCCTGGAGGGGTTCAAGGGCAGGTTGGAGGGGGCTTGGAGCAACCTGGGCTGGTGGGAGGTGTCCCTGCCCAGGGCAGGGGGGTTGGAACTGAATGATCTTTAAGTTCCCTTCCAACCCAAACCATTCTGTGATTCTAAGCTTCATGACACCACTCGTGAGCCGAGCTCAGCTTCATACTCCCAGCATGTTTTACCATGAACCCTCCCCACCCTTCACAACCTGGGAAAAGCCAAAGGTTCTCTTAAGTTCCTCACAACAGGGTGCACACCTTCACCCCTCCCCTTCCCCGGAGCTCATGCACCGTACCGTACACCACGGGCTGTGCGTGTGTAGGGGGGGGATAACCGCCAGCCTCACCTCATAGGCAGCTCCCAGGTCTTGAAACTTCTCCTGCGCCCGGGGGTCGTCGGGGTTCCTGTCGGGATGGAGCTGCAGCGCCAGTTTCCGGTAGGCCTTCTTGATGTCCTTGATGGAGGCGCCGCGGGACACCCCCAGGATCTTGTAGAAGTCCCTCCTGCCGGGGGGGGGAAGGAGAGAAAGAGGGAAAGCCCCCTCAGCGCCCAGCCCGAGGCGGGGAGACAGGTAGGCCCGGCGCTGAGGCGATGGGGGGGGGGCGTTAAGGCCGGTGTGTGTGTGTGTGAGGCCCGGGGGGGGGGGGGGGGGGCACTCACCCGGCGGCGGCCTCCCCGCAGAGGCAGAGCAGCAGGAGGCAGAGGCGGCCGAGCCAGCCGGGGGCCATGGCGGGGAGGCGGCGGTCTCCGGGCGGGGCCGTAGCGCCTCAGCCGCCCGCCCCGGCCCGGCCACCATTAGACGCTGTACGAGCGGAGGAACCCGGCGACCAGAGAGGGCCCAGCCAATAGGAGAGCGCCGCAGCCCCCGCGCGCCGCCCGCCGCCAGCCTATCGGCTGCGAACACTTCACCGCCACCGGCCAATCGCCTGGCAGGGCGTCGGCTCGCAGCCCCGCCGCGCCCAATCGCGGCTCAGCGCGTCCTGCCCGCGCCCTGCCCTATCGCCGCGCGGGAGGGCGAGTTTTGCCCAATCACAGAGCGCGGCGCTTATTCCCGCCTCCTCGCTGGCCCGCAGCAGCCAATGGCGAGCCGACTGTTCGGCGAGGGGGCGGGTCTGGCCGCAGTCCTCCACGGTGTGAGAGAAGGGCCGTCTCGTTGCTCCGCGCTGCTGCCGCTCTGCCCCGCGCCGGAAGCGGGGGAGCGGCGGCGGCGGCGGTCGCTATGGAGGCCCCGGTGCGGCTGTGGGTGAAGACGGAGCCGTTCCTGGTGGGGGCCCTGCCCGCCCCGCCGCCCGCCCGCCTCAGCCCTCACTACCTGCGGAAGATGGCGGCCTACGCCCGGGCGCGGGCGGCCGAGGGCTGCTTCCCGCGCCTGCCGTGGCCCCGCTGGCGGCACATCGCCTGCGGAAAGCTGCAGCTGGGCCGCGGCCTGGCCTGGCTCTACTTCGACCTCTTCCGCAGCCTCCTCCGGCCCGACCCGCCGCGCCGCCTCGAGTGGGCCGAGGCCGAAGCGGCCTGTGCCGGCCCCGACGAGCTGGAGCAGGAGCGGAGCAAGGCAGGAGGAGGAGCAGTAGCCCCATCCCGGGCCGGGTCAGCGTGGTGAGAGCCTCAGCCCATCCTAACGCCTCTTTTTCTCCCCTCTTGGCCAGCTGTCGGTGGACACCCTGCAGTTCCTCCTCTTCCTGTACGTCCAGCAAGTGAACAAGGTCTCCCTGCGGCGGTCTCTGATTGGGGAGGAATGGCCCAGCCCCCGCACCAAGTCTCCCGGCCTGACTGGAAAATCCGGCAGCGAGAATAAGGTACGTGTGGCTGTGGGGTGGTCCTGGCGGGAGACTGCGTGGCAAGTTTGCTGATGATCCCAAACTGGGAGGGGTGGCTGACACCCCAGAGGGCCGTGCTGCCATCCAGTGAGACCTGGACAGGCTGGAGGGCTGGGCAAGGAAGAACCTCATGAGGTTCAACAAGGGAAAGTGTGCAAAGCCCTGCCTCGAGGTGGGTTGAAAAGTGCCTGGGTTGTTCCTGGGCAGGTGGAACTCTGCCTGCAGTTAAGTCTTAAGGGAGAGTCAAATTGGGGATACTTCGCTAAACACTAAAGACAATCAGGTTGGTGTATTCTCTGTATCAAAAGCTGCCTGTGGGAATTTCCTAGACTCAGACTAACTCTGAAAGGTGTCTCAGACCGTTGGCACTTCTCCTTTTAAGGAGCAAGGCCAACAGCATCCTGACTTGTACTTGGAACCGCGTGGCCAGCAGGACTAGGGCAGATTGTCCCCCTGTGCTGGGCACTGGTGAGACACCACCTCGAGTCTGTGTCCAGTTTTGGGCCCCTCACCACAAAAAAAGACATTGAGGGGCTGGAGCAGGTCCAGAGAAGGACAATGGAGCTGGTGAGGGGTCTGGAGCACAAGTCTTGTGAGGAGAGGCTCATAGGGACTGGGTCACTTTATACTGAAAGATTGAATTCATGGGAAAAGAAATCATACAATCATAGAACGATCGGAGTTGGAGGGGACTTTGAACACCATCCATTTCCACCCCCTGCCCTGGGCAGGGACACCTCCCACCAGACCAGGTTGCTCCAAGCCCCCTTCAGCCTGGCCTTGAACCCCTCCAGGGATGGGGCAGCCACAGCTTCTCTGGGCAACCTGGGCCAGGCTCTCACCACCCTCACAGCCAAGAAGTTCTTCCCCACATCTCAGCTCCATCTCCCCTCTTTCAGTGTCAAACCCTTCCCCCTCCTCCCATGGCTCCCCTCCCTGATCCAGAGTCCCTCCCCATCTCTCCTGGAGCCCCTTGAGGGACTGGAAGGGGCTCCAAGGTCTCCCCGGAGCCTTCTCTTCTCCAGGCTGAACCCCCCAACTCTCTCAGACCCCCTCCCAGCAGAGGGGCTCCAGCCCTCCCAGCATCTCCGGGGCCTCCTCTGGCCCCACTCCAACAGCTCCATGTCCTTCTGCTGTTGGTGGCCCCAGAGCTGGAGGCAGCACTGGGTGGGGGGTGTCTCCCCAGAGCGGAGCAGAGGGGCAGAATCCTCCCCTGGCCCTGCTGGCCACGGGGCTGGGGATGCAGCCCAGGGTGTGGGGGGCTTTCTGGGCTGCCAGAGCACATTGCTGGGGTGTGTGGAGCTTCTCATCCACCAACACCCCCAAGTCCTGCTGAGATGAGAGGAATTGATACAGGGTTGTGTGGTCGGGTGGTCATGGAGCATCCAGTGTTATTTAAAAGTCGATGTTTTCTTTTCATGGCTCAGGTGTAGCCACGACGTAAAACTCTGGACAGGAAGGAGGTGCATCTTGGTTGCCATTGGATCCCTCCCAGAGGTTTTGGTCCTGATGAGGTTGGGGCTGTCTCTGCTGCTGTTCCTTTTCTCTGTGTGATCGGGTGGGATGCCCCCAGCTTCAGCAATACCCAGTATGAACTGTGCCCCCTTTTGAAATGCTGGAGCGTGTCCAGAGGAGAGCCACCAAGCTGGTGAGGGGCCTGGAGAACAAGTCCTATGAGGAGAGGCTGAGGGAACTGGGCATGTTTAGTTTGGAGAAGAGGAGGCTGAGGGGAGACCTCATTGCCCTCTACAACTACCTGAAAGGAGGGTGTAGAGAGGCAGGTGTTGGCCTCTTCTCCCAAAGGACGAATGACAAGACCAGAGGAAATGGTCTGAAGTTGGGGCAGGGGAGATTTAGATTAGATATTAGAAAGAATTACTTTGGGAGGTTTAGATTGGATATTAGGAAAAATTTCTTCATGGTAAGGGTTATCCAGCATTGGAATAGGCTGCCCAGGGAAGTGGCTGAGGCAACATCCCTGGAGGTGTTCAAAGGACGGTTTGACATGATCTTCAGGAATATGGTTTAGTGGTTTGTTTTTTTTTTTGTTTTTGTTTTTTTTTTTTTTTTTGTGTGTGGTTGGACTCGATGATCTCGGAGGTCCCTTCCAACCACTAAGATTCTGTGAGATTCTGTGAGATTCTGTGAAATGGTGTGGAGAGGCTCGTGTGGTGCCAGAGGGTCTCTGTCACAGTGCAGGGGTCTCCAGCTGCTGGACAAGACACTCTCAGGTGCTTGTTGCACCGTTTGGGCTACAGCCCTTGGAGATAGTGAGGACAATGTTGAATCACAGCCATGTGTTGCTTGTACTGCAGTTCACAGGCCAGCAAAGATTGTCTTTATTAATGTCTGCCATCATTCTAGTATTCTGCTTTTTTTGGGGGGAGCCTTTTGGAGGCTAAAGGCCTTCTGGAGCCCTTTAGAATTTGAACTAACGATTCTTTCAGAGGTCGTTTGGTTTATTGGCCCGTTCTCCTGTGAAGAAATGACCCTGGGGTCTTTTTTCCCCCCGCAGCGCCTCGGGAGGCGGCACTGAATCAGACCTGAAGGTCTGGAACAGATGCAGGGATTTTCCAATAGAGCAGCTGCGAGACCTTGACTGTCAGTTATTGATTTGTTTCCTGCCTTCAATTTGCCAGCAGCAGCCGGCTGAATTTGTGTGGGAAGGATTGCAGGAGAGTCTGCGTCTGCTTCCTAGAATGAAATATTTGGTACTTTGGGGTTAGAATTAAAGTTTTTTTTTCTTCCTGGGGGGGGAGATTGCTTTCTGTGTTTTGGAAGAAGCAGCAGCAGTGAGCAGGAGAGAGCATCCCCTTCGATTTGCTTTCCCTCTTTTACAAGGGTGAAAGTGAGGATGCGTCGTATAAAGTCAATGGGGCTTGTTCAGCTCTGTGAGAACTCACCTCCTTTTTGTGTGTTTTTCTGCCCGCTCAGAACTGGAACGATCAGGACCACCATGCCTTCGTGCTGAGCCACCTCTCGGATCTGCTGGAGCTGCTGCTGGAGCCGGAGCAGCTCACTGCCTCCTCCCACTCCACCCACAGCAGCTTGGTGTCCTACGAAGCCGTCTGTGCCCTCAGCTTTCTTATCGAAGGGACGGTGACCAAATCCAGGATGGTCCATCCTCTGCACGAGCTTGCCCTCTGGCAGCCCTGTCACGGCCAGAATGGCTACTCAAAGGTCTCCAGAGCCTTCTCCTTCCCCAAACTAGAGAGCTGGCTGCGCTCTTGCCTGACGTCAAACCCTTTTGGAATGACTGCCTGCCTCAAGTCCGGGAAGAAGCTCGCCTGGGCACAGCAAGGTAGCTACAGGTCTTGCCTTCCTTTTTAGAAATAACTTCCCAGTCTTGGGTTCTCTTGCTGTCTGTGGATCTAGCACTGGTGTGGGGGCTTGCCTGCTTTTCCTCCTACTGTCAGTGGAGATGGGGAGAAAGTGGCAGCTTAGAGGTGAGTTTGGGGGACTAGAGGGTGCTGCGTGACATCTGTGTGTATTTTTCCAGTCCTTGGAGCACTTTGGTGAGCAAACGTTAATGACTTTATTTTCCAAGTCCCCTCTGAGTGAGGCCAGCAGCACTATCTTCATTATCCAAGTACAGCTGGACACAGAGAATATATAACACGGTGTGTTTGTGGCAAAGCTGTTACTGATCTAAGTTTCCTTGCCTTGAATTTCATTCTTTGACCTGCAAGGACATGGCAGTGGAGCTGAGGCACCTTCCACCTTAGGGGAAAAAAAATTCAGGCTAATATTTTGTTTCCTCTGACTGCACAACCATAAAAGTGGCAGTGTGTTGGGTAGGACCACGAGGTTGCTCAGGGGTTGTACAGTAGAGGGAGCATTTCACTCTTTTAAAACATACAGTTTCTGCTTTCAATAGAAAAAATTACCCTACGGATCTTCCTGCCGAGCTAAATCTTGTGTTCAGGAACAAACTTGTGGAAGTGGAGATGCCTAGGTCAGGGCTGTCTGTAGCTTATGGGAGGCTTTACCTCCAAGAATAATCTTGGAGTGCTTTTGATCTTTTTAACATATCCTGAATTCTGGAGCTTCTTTCTGCTACGTGTGCTGGTGGATGGTGTGACTGGTGCGTGAACTGACTCGGTTTGATGGTATCATCCTTGAAGTTTTGGGCTGATTATTTGCTGGAGGGACTGCTGAGTGACGTGGTCAGTGAACCAGCGTGTCTGTGTCTCTGTAGGAATCAGGTACAGCCTTTTTTTGTGTTTGTGGGGTTTTTTTTCCCTCATTCTAAACGCGTTGGTTAACTTTATTTTGCAGTTGAAGGAACAACCAGGAGAGCAAAGATCGCCTGCAACACTCGGGTGGTGCCTGAGGTGTTCCCCATGGTGATCATGAGCCAGGTCTACAAGCAAACGTTGGCCAAGAGCTCGGACACCCTGGTGGGGGCTCACGTAAGAATTCATCGCTGCAACGAGTCCTTCATTTATCTCCTCTCTCCCCTCCGGTGAGTTTTTGTTCTCTTGAGGCACAGCTAGATTTCACTGAATTTCACTGAATTTTTTAGAGTTGGAAGGGACCATAGAGATCATCTAGTCCAACTCCCCTGCTGAAGCAGGATTGCCTAGAGCTTGTCAGAGCATGTTACTCAGGAGCATCCAGGTGGGGCTTGAAAATCTCCAAGGAAGGGGACTCCACACCCTCCCTGGGCAGCCTGTTCCAGGGCTCTGCCACCCTCACCGTGAAGAAGTTTCTCCTCATATTTGAGTGGAACCTCTTCTGTTCCAACTTGTGCCCGTTGCCCCTCGTCCTCTCACTGGGAACCCCTGAAAAGAGTCTGGCTCCCTCCTCCTTCAACCCTCCCTTGAGATACTTGTAGGCGTTGATAAGGTCTCCCCTCAGCCTTCTCTTCTCCAGACTAAAGAGTCCCAGCTCTCTCAGTCTCTCCTCATAAGGGAGATGCTCCAATCCTTGAATCATCTTTGTAGCCCTACGCTGGACTCTTTCTAGTAGTTCCCTGTCCCTCTTGAACTGGGGAGCCCAGAACTGGACACAGTATTCCAGTTGTGGCCTCACCAGTGCAGAGCAGAGGGGGAGAATGACTTCCCTTGACCTGCTGGCCACACTCTTCCCTATGCAACCCAAGATCCCATTGGCCTTCCTGGCCACAAGAGCACACTGTTTACTCATTGTCATTTTACTGTCCACCAGGACCCCTAGATCTTTCTCTTCAGTAGTTGCCTCCAGCAGGTCCATCCCTAACCTGTACTGGTACCTGACATTCTTCTTCCCCAGGTGCAGGACCCTACACTTTTCCCTGTTGAACCTCATGAGGTTCTTCCTTGCCCAGCCCTCCAGCCTGTCCAAGTCTTGCTGGATGGCAGCACAGCCCTCTGGGGTGTCAGCCACCCCTCCCAGTTTGGTATCATCAGCAAACTTGCTGAGGATACACTCTGTCCCCTCGTCCAGGTCACTGATGAATATATTAAACAGCACAGGTCCAAGTATTGACCCCTGGGGGACTCCACTGGTTACAGGCTCCCAACTTGAACCTGCTCCATTAATCAATGCCCTTTGGGTCCTGTCACACAGCCAGTTCTCAATCCACCTCACTGTCCCCTCATCCAGCCCACACTGCCTCAGTTTCCCAATGAGGATGTTATGGGAGACAGTGTCAAAAGCCTTGCTGAAGTCAAGGTAGATGACATCTGCTGCCCTCCCCTCATCTAGCCAACCGGTTATGGCATCATAGAAGGCTATCAGATTGGTCATACATGATTTACCCTTGGTAAACCCGTGTCTTTTCAGCAAGTTTATTCAAGCGCTGAGTTCTTTTTAGATGGAGTAAGTGGTGAAAAAGTTCTGGTTTGGCTCTTTCCTGCTCACGGTCTCCTCACTCTTGTTCCTTGGCAGGTCGGTGACCATTGAGAAGTGCCGGAACAGCACTTTTGTCCTCGGCCCCGTGCAGACCTCTGTCCATGTCCACAGCTGTGACAACGTCAAGGTCATCGTGGTTTGCCATCGTTTGTGCCTTTCTTCCACATCTGGCTGTACCTTTTACATTCTCACCCCTACCCAACCTCTCATCCTCCTGGGGAACGAAGCCATCAGCTTTGCCCCTTTCCACACCCATTACCCCATGCTCGAAGACCACATGGCTCAGGTGGGGTTGGCCACTCTGCCCAACTACTGGGACAGCCCCATGCTGGTGTGCAAGGAGAGCGGTGACACCAGCGTCTTCCGCCTCCTGCCGCCCTCAGACTTCTACCCCTTCGTGATTCCTTTTGAGATGGAAGGAGACACCACGGAGACGCCGGGTGGGCTTCCCCACGCCTATCAGAAGGCGCTGAGTCAGCGAGAGCAGAAGGTGCAGATCTGGCAGAAAACGGTGAAGGAGACGGGCCTGACCAAGTGAGTGCTCTGCAGGACCCGGTGAGCTGTGTGACAGCTCAGCTCGGCCATACAATCGGAAGTGATTTAATGTGGTTCAACAAAAATGCTTATAGAACGGGTTGGTTTGCGTGAGCCTTGTCCTGCGTGACATTTCTAGAGTACTGGTGATTAGCAATCTTGGGATCCTGGGCTTTGCTCTTACTGTTTGTTCACAGTTTTAACTGTGAATCATAGACTCACAGAATTGCCCAGGCCGGAAGGGACCTCCAAAGGTCATCTAGTCCGACCTCCCCGCAGTCAGCAGGGACACCCCCAACTAGACCAGGTTGCCCAGGGCCTCGTCGAGCCTCTCCTTGAATATCTCCAGGGAAGGGGCCTCAACCACCTCCCTGGGCAACCTGTTCCAGTGCTCCACCACCCTCACAGTGAAGAACCCTCTCCTAATCTCCAGTCTAAATCTGTTCCCCTCCAGCTTGAAGCCATTGCCCCTCGTCCTGTCACTGCAGGCCTTTCTAAACAGGTTCTCCCCAGCCTTCCTGTAGGCTCCCTTCAGGTACTGGAAGGCTGCTATTAGGTCTCCCCGGAGCCTCCTCTTCTTCAGGCTGAACAACCCCAGCTCCCTCAGCCTGTCCTCGGAGCAGAGGTGCTCCATCCCCCTGATCATCCTTGTGGCCCTCCTCTGGACCCGCTCCATCAGGTCCATATCTTTCCCATATTGAGGGCTCCAGACCTGCACACAATACTCCAGGTGAGGTCTCACCAGAGTAAAGTGGCAGAATCCCCTCTCTGGACCTGCTGGCAACGCATCTCTTGATGCAGCCCAGGCTGTGTTTGGCCTTCTGGGCTGCAACTGCACACTGCCTGCTCATGTCCAGCTTCTCATCCACCAGCACCCCCAAGTCCCTTTCCTCAGGGCTGCTTTCTAACACCTCATCCCCCAGTCTGTACTGATGGTGAGGATTGTTCAGGCCATCATTTGGCTGGAAATGGATGGTTCCATTGTGAAGGAGGTGCTTTGTCGTGATTTGAAGCTCAAGGAAAAGCATTCCTGGAAGCTGCTGAGGTGAGGAGTCCACCCTGCCAGTCAGAGATGAGAACAAGTGCTCCCGGAGCAGTGCTTGAGCTGTGTAAGATTTTCTTTCTGTTCTGTGCTCAAAGACTTGTAATGGGCATGTAACTGGGTGCTGATGAGCAGTGATCTCGGAGGGGTTTATCCTCTGGGGAAACACAGAATATGTTGGGTCAAACTGTCAGCACTGTCCGTCACACCAAGCTGAGCACTTCTGGTCCATTTGGTGGTTCACTGAATTTCACTGAATTTCACTGAATTTTAGAGTTGGAAGGGACCATAGAGATCATCTAGTCCAACTCCCCTGCTGAAGCAGGATTGCCTAGAGCTTGTCAGAGCATGTTACTCAGGAGCATCCAGGCGGGGCTTGAAGATCTCCAAAGAAGGGGACTCCACACCCTCCCTGGGCAGCCTGTTCCAGGGCTCTGCCACCCTCACCGTGAAGAAGTTTCTCCTCATATTTGAGTGGAACCTCTTATGTTCCAACTTGTGCCCGTTGCCCCTTGTCCTCTCACTGGGAACCCCTGAAAAGAGTCTGGCTCCCTCCTCCTTCAACCCTCCCTTGAGATACTTGTAGGCATTGATAAGGTCTCCCCTCAGCCTTCTCTTCTCCAGGCTAAAGAGTCCCAGCTCTCTCAGTCTCTCCTCATCAGGGAGATGCTCCAATCCTTGAATCATCTTTGTTGCCCTACGCTGGACTCTTTCTAGTAGTTCCCTGTCCCTCTTGAACTGGGGAGCCCAGAACTGGACGCAGGATTCCAGTTGTGGCCTCCCCAGTGCAGAGCAGAGGGGGAGAATGACCTCCCTTGACCTGCTGGCCACACTCTTCCCTATGCAACCCAGGATTCCGTTGGCCTTCCTGGCTACAAGAGCACACTGTTTACTCATTGTCATTTTACTGTCCACCAGGACCCCTAGATCTTTCTCTTCAGAAGTTGTCTCCAGCAGGTCCACCCCTAACCTGTACTGGTACCTGACATTTTTCTTCCCCAGGTGCAGGACCCTACACTTTTCCCTGTTGAACCTCATGAGGTTCTTCCTTGCCCAGCCCTCCAGCCTGTCCAAGTCTCGCTGGATGGCAGCACAGCCCTCTGGGGTGTCAGCCACCCCTCCCAGTTTGGTATCATCAGCAAACTGGCTGAGGATACACTCTGTCCCCTCGGCCAGGTCACTGATGAATATATTAAACAGCACGGGTCCAAGTATTGACCCCTGGGGTTCCTTGTTTTGGAGGAGCTCCCTCTGCTTCCCTTGTTCCTTTCTGAAACCCAGGCGCCTCTGCTGAGCATGGAGGGGCCTCCAGTTTGAAAGAGCTCTAGACTGGGAGAGAGAAAGGGTTCTGGGGCAGGATTTTGCCGCCAGCAGGAGGGTGGCTGAGCAGTAGTGACCCAGTCGTGGTGACAGAAGTGTAAAAACCTTCCCAACTCTCAGTCTTGAAGGGCAGCAGGAAGGAAAGTGGTAACTGCAGCCCTTGTGCTAGAGTCTTCCCTTCTAGCTACCAACCTTATCCTAAGGTGGTGCTTCTTCCTCCTCCAGCCATGGTCCTCCCAGGGCTGCTGCTTCTCACCCCAGGAATTTGTGAAGGTGTTTTCCCCTGTTAAAAATCCTACTGTTAAAGAAGTGGGAGGTAATATGGATGATGTGCTTAGATGTAACATCCTCTACAGCAGTCACAGGAGGCAAGAGCTCGGTATTGGAGTGACTTATGTCATAAAAGAGAGAAAACCGTGCCAGGTCTAGAACTGGAAGAAACTGGGCAGCTGACAGGGTAAAATGTCTCTGTCTCCTACAGGCAGGGAGACAAGTAGGAAGCTTAGAGCAAACAGGATATCAGAGATGTAGAAAGGAAAAAAGCTGCCGTGCTTGAACTGGGAGGTGAGAGAGACAGTGAGAAATAAGACGACGTCTTTCAAGAAGCTGGAGTTGTCGGAATGAGGAAAGTGGGACAAAAAAAAAGAATGTAAATCCTGCCAGGCTGAAAGTATAAAACCCCGTAAGACAGGACCAGTAAGACAGCTTGGAGGAACAACTTGCAAAAGCATAAAATCCTGTTTATTCATTTTTCCGAGCGTATCAGACACAAAGTCTTTCGGGGTCAGTAGCAGATCAAGGTATATAAAAAGCACTTGGAGAAGATAAAAAAACCATAAGGGAAGAAAGAAGTGGCTGCCTTTGTGTTCACGTTCACTGGGGAGGAATTTAGGTTAGTTTTTCTGTCCCAGAACCCTGCTTTCGGGGGGGATGTCTCAGATGGAAGTGATAGGACAAAGGAAAGCCTTTAACTTGAAAAAAGGGTCTGGGTACAGCGAGCCTCTGTGAAATGCAGTCCTGAGTAACATGCTCTAGCTCTAGGCAATCCTGCTTCATCAGGGGAGTTGGACTAGATGATCTCTATGGTCCCTTCCAACTCTAAAAATTCAGTGAAATTCAGTGAAAATTCAGTGAAATGGAGTGGCCCAAAAGCACACAGGGCTTTTCCCAGTCCAGGGTGGGATCAGCACATCAAATTAGGGCCGGGTTCAAAGCAAAGCCAGGTAAACTCTCCACGGGATATTGAAAATGGTCGTGTTTTATGTGGGTTCAGAAAGGAATTGCATAAGCTCACAGGGGGGGAAAAAAGTGCAGCAGGAGTTACTCAACGCTTTGTGCCACCTTTGGGCTTCAGAAGTTGTGGAGCTGGGGTGGTGCCAGATGGCTGGGGTGCTGTTCTGGAGAAATACAGTTTTGTGTATCCAGTGCTTAAGCTCTGGTTGCTAATCTTCTTTTTCTCCCTTCTCAGACAGGTTTAATCTGTGCTCTCTAAGTCAAGCAGGGGCAGCCCTGTGGAGCAGGGGTGCCGTGGTAGTGAGATGGGGGAGGTAGAGGAGTCATGGCATGCCACCTCCCCCAGGTTATGCCTTTAGGGTTCATTATAGTAATATTCTCTTGGTAAAAACCTTCTCTTCCTGGACGGGCAGTTCATGAACCAAGCCCAGCTCTGAGCTGATACACGTGAAGATTGTTTTGGTAGTGAAGGTGAGGTGTAATGGGCACTGGTGAGGCCTCACCTTGAGTACTGTGTCCAGTTTTGGGCCCCCTACCATAAAAAAGACATTGAGGTGCTGGAGTGGGTCCAGAGAAGGGCGACAAAGATGGTGAGGGGTCTGGAGAATAAGTCTTATGAGGAGAGGCTGAGGGAGCTGGGGTTATTCAGCCTGGAGAAGAGGAGGCTGAGGGGAGACCTTCTCACTCTCTACAACTCCCTGAAAGGAGGGTGTAGAGAGGTGGGGGTCGGTCTCTTCTCCCAAGTCACAGGCGACAGGACAAGAGGAAATGGCCTCAAGTTGCCCCAGGGGAGGTTCAGGCTGGATATTAGGAAAAATTTTGTCACTGAAAGGGTTGTCAGGCATTGGAATGGGCTGCCCAGGGAGGTGGTTGAGGCCCCATCCCTGGAGGTGTTCAAAAGACGGGTTGATGTAGTGCTGGGAGGTCTGGTTTAGTGATGATGCTCCTTGTTTGTTGTGTGGGTGTCTATTTTTGTCAGTCAGGTTGACGGTTGGACAAGATGATCTTTAAGGTCCCTTCCAACCTAGAAGATTCTGTGATTCTGTGTTTTGAAGTATAATACTATAAATAAACGTGACGTTTGCATCCTTCCCTGCTGATCTTCTTTTTTGGTTTCAGGAATCAGAGGAAACGGTTCCAGGTGTTGGTAGAAAATAAATTCTACGAGTGGCTGGTTCAGACAGGGAACCGTCAGCAGCTGGACAGCCTTGTTCCTCCTGCGGTGGGCTCCAAGCAGGCAGCCGGATAGCCTCGTGGCTATGGTGAGAAGGAATGGTGAGTAGAGGGCATGTGTCTGCAGCAAAAACAAAAAGTGTGGCCAGCAGTTAAGGGAGATGACGATCCGCCTCTACTCTGCTCTGGTGAGACCCCACCTGGATCACTGTGTCCAGCTTTAGAGTCCTCAGCACAGGAAAGACACGGAGCTGTTGGAGCGGGGCCAGAGGAGGCCCTGGAGATGCTGGGAGGGCTGGAGCCCCTCTGCTGAGGGGGGGCTGAGAGAGTTGGGGGGGTTCAGCCTGGAGAAGAGAAGGCTCCGGGGAGACCTTGGAGCCCCTTCCAGTCCCTCAAGGGGCTCCAGGAGAGATGGGGAGGGACTCTGGGTCAGGGAGGGGAGCCATGGGAGGAGGGGGAAGGGTTTGACACTGAAGGAGGGGAGATGGAGATGGGATCTGGGGAAGAACTTCTTTGGTGTGAGGGTGGTGAGAGCCTGGGGGAGGATGGATTGCACTGTGTCCTATAAAAGGAAGGGCCTTTACATTTCCTAGAAGCCTTCCTTTCTTATTCTCCTGAGTGTTATAGGATGAAGCCTATAGACCTGGAGAAGAGAAGGCTTTGAGGAGACTCCACAGACCCTTCCAGTCCCTTAAGGGGTTCCCAGAGAGATGGGGAGGGACTCTGGATGAGGGAGGGGAGCCATGGGAAGAGGGGGAAGGGTTTGACACTGAAAGAGGGGAGATGGAGCTGAGATGTGGGGAAGAACTTGTTTGGTGTGAGGGTGGTGAGAGCCTGGCCCAGGTTGCCCAGAGAAGCTGTGGCTGCCCCATCCCTGGAGGGGTTCAAGGGCAGGTTGGAGGGGGCTTGGAGCAACCTGGGCTGGTGGGAGGTGTCCCTGCCCAGGGCAGGGGGTGGCACTGGGTGGGCTTCAAGGTCCCTTCTGACTCTGATCATTCTATGATTCTCTTGATTCTTCTCTATCTAGAGGAATTATCCCATGTTTCTATGCACAGCCTGGGCAGAGGTTGAAAACGTAGGACATTCTCCCAAGAGCCTTGTGTTTGGTTTTAGTTGTTACTTTGCAGTCAAAGCCACTTCTGAATTTGGACCTACTCCCTGTGTGCTCAGCATCTCCACCTTCTCTGCAGGTGTTCTGTTAGATCTGTCAGGGCCGTGTGTCTGTCTGTAAGGGCAGACAGGCAAGTTGTACAGAATCTGATGTAAAAACTTACTCGAGCTGCTGCTCTCTGAAGGAGGCTGCATGCATTAATGTCTGTACCTACCTGTCTCACTTTTTGCTTAAGAGATTTGAAAACTTTGAATAATTCAGAATCACAGAATCTTCTAGGTTGGAAGGGACCTTACAGATCATCTTGTCCAACTGTCAACCCAACTGACAAAAATAGTCACCCACACAACAAACAAGGAGCATCATCACTAAACCAGACCTCCCAGCACCACATCAACCCGTCTTTTGAACACCTCCAGGGATGGGGCCTCAACCACCTCCCTGGGCAGCCCATTCCAACGGCTGAGAACCCTTTTCTAATTCTTTGTAGTGTCTTTCTCTTCCCAAGTAGAAATAGTTTAGGAGTTGAAGACAATCCCCTGTTGAATTTTTCTGCCGTTGCGTGTTTCAAAGCTTTAGAAAGTTGTGGGTTGTTTTTTTTTTCTTTAGACTTCGAGGTGGTTTTTGAAGGACCTTTTGGAGTAAAATTTCCCTCCTCTTATTTTGTTACAGAGCTCTGGGACCGGGCAGTGGTGCACTGAGAGCAGTTCTCACTCAGACTTTGCAGCCCTCCTGCCCGAACACGCTCGACGCCGACCCGACTCCCAGCCTCGGCGCGGATGGGACTCTCTGTTCTGCTTTAGGATTTCTCCCCCTTTCCTGGGAGCGTGCTGTAACTAGGCTGTTGGTAACTGAGAAGACTCATGAGGATGATGAAGGGTCCTTTAGTGGGGTGGCCATCAGCACAGTTAGTGGCTGTGGTGGGCCGAGGTGGATGCAGGGCCCTGGCGTCGTGTGCATCGTTACGGTACGAGCCAGCCCCACTGCTTTTATACATGCAAAAATTGAATATTTCCTTATTATTTTTTTTAAAAATGAATGAGATTCAGTGATTTTTTAAATTATTTTTAATATGAAGATGGCACTCGAGCAGTGTGACGTTATAACTTTCTTAACACATTCGCATTGTTTTGACAAAATGTCAATAAAACAGAGTTCTTGGATGAGCCTGGCGTGTGTCCTAGGGAAGGGGTTTTACCTGCACGGTGGGTGTTAGAGGGACACAACATCATGAAATGTGAACCCATCAGCTGAGAGAAAAGTGCTAATTTATTAACAGCCACGGAATTGAAGGTTTTGAAGGCTGCCCCTTGCACAGCATTTTAACACAAACATAATTTAATACTTTCCTACCTTTGATGTTTCTTGGGAAGGTTATCAGCGTGGCTGAGTACCGTTCTCCTGGGCTAGGGGAACCTGTCCTGGGCAGATGTGCTCGTTGCTGAGCAGAGCAGGCCAAGGGGTCGTGTGGGTGACCAAACCAGCAGCTGTAGGTGCCTTCTGAAGAGCTGTCTGACCCGAGAGCAAGAGGAAGGTGGGGACACTTAGTGCTCTGGTATGCACAGTGGTTTGTGATGCTGGGATTATCCTGAAAGTCTCTCTGGGCTGCTGGGGAGGCAGGGGATGCAATACAAGGCGAGTTGATGATGTTTAGCCAACTAGAAGATAGACCTTCTCAATGCCTACAAGTATCTCAAGGGAGGGTTGAAGGAGGAGGGAGCCAGACTCTTTTCAGTGGTTCCCAGTGAGAGGACGAGGGGCAACGGGCACAAGTTGGAACAGAAGAGGTTCCACTCAAATATGAGGAGAAACTTCTTCACGGTGAGGGTGGCAGAGCCCTGGAACAGGCTGCCCAGGGAGGGTGTGGAGTCCCCTTCCTTGGAGATCTTCAAGCCCCGCCTGGATGCTCCTGAGTAACATTCTCTGACAAGCTCTGGGCAATCCTGCTTCAGCAGGGGAGTTGGACTAGATGATCTCTATGGTCCCTTCCAACTCTAAAATTCAGTGAAATTCAGTGATGTTCAAAGCGGCTGCTTTGAACACATGAAAGCGGAGCTTTGAGATGTTCTAGTGAACCTACTGACTTGGATTTGAGATGTTCTGGTGAACCTACTGACTTGCCTTTCAATAGGACGTGGATTGTGGTTGGACTCTGATCTTCTGAAGACAGCATTTGGATAAAAAAAAAATACCTGTAAGTGCCCTGGCAGCCTTTCCAGCAGCAAGAGCTGTAAGCAGCAGCCCTGGGCCATTCGAGACACCCACAAAGGGAAGAGGCCGAGATGCTGCTGCGCACGTCTGTCTCAAACTGTCCCAAAGAGTGGTGCTCAATGGATTCAAATCCAGCTGGTGGCCGGTCACTAGTGGTGTGCCTCAGGGCTCAGTGCTAGGACCATTTCTATTTAACATCTTTACTGACGATCTCGATAAGGACACAGGGTGTATCATCAGCAAGTTCGCAGATGACACCAAGTTAAGCAGGAGTGTTGACTCCCAGGAGGACAGGGAAGCCCTACAGAGGGACCTAGATAGATTGGATCACTGGGCCAAGATCAACGGCATGAGTTTCAACAAGGGCAAGTGCCAGGTCCTGCACTTGGGCCACACCAACCCCCTGCAGCGCTACAGGCTGGGGGAAGTGTGGCTGGAGCTGCCTGGAGGAAAGAGACCTGGGGGTTCGAGTTGACAA